CTGCTGTTTACTAAGGGTCTGCTCTGTGCCAGTTTCTTCGGATGCCCTGTCTTTATTCCTCACAACAGTCCTACAGGGAAGGGGCCCTTGTTTCACAGAAATGAGGCTCAGAGAAACCAAGTGACAGCTGGTGAGTCGTGTGGGGCCTGAAACCTAAGACTTCTCCGAAGCCCACGCTCTTGCTGTAGCTTTGAGGCAGGCGGGAGAAGAGGCTCCTTGGGAGGAAAGGAAGGGGCACTCAGGGCCTTCTGAGTCACTCCCCAAGCTACAGTGGAGTTGGTTCCACTTGTCACCCTGTTTCTAGGCAGTTGGGCTGGTGTCACGGCATCCCTCACGGCCCGACTGGTGCTGGCCAGACTCCCACTCACCAACCCTGACTAGCAGAGAACAAGCAGCCGCCTTTTAATATTCATCCCGACAGGTCCAAAAGGTCAGTGTGAGTCACATGGTTCCTCAGGGACTGTAGGTCTAGGAACCGTTAGGACACCTCACTCCCCCACCCTTGGTGTCCCATCTTTTCCACACTGCCCTCGGCCTCTTGCGTCAGCTCTCCTGGAATATTTGCTCTGGTCTAGCCCACCCCAGGCCAGACTCATTAGGAATTCAAGACTCCCGTAAAGAAAGTTGTTTCCAAAGTTGTCTTGTCATTCTGTTGGATTTGGGCTTGGAAGGGGAGCCCCCATGGGCCAGGGTTGGCAAACAGAGGAAAAAGGGAGAATGCTGGAGAAATTGGACTCATGAGACATTGTAAGAATCCAAAGAAAAGGTGAGTGGTAACAGTGTGCTGTGAAATTACTGTGATTTGCTTCCTTACAAATCCACTCATCGGATGGAAAAGAAATGGCCAAATGGCTGGGCCTGGGGTAGACAAGAGCCCAGAAATCGCCCCTGGGGAGGACCTTTTCTAAGGGACTGGGTAGAGTCTCCTGGAGGCAGGGATGGCTGGGGTTTCCTCTCATGGCCCCTGCGCTCTGAGAAATCAAAGCTACAGTCTGCATGAGGTCAGACCTGCGCCCAGAACACTGGTTTGATCTGGGCCGAAATCCTGGAAACAGTATTAAATTGTGGGCCCCCAAATGAAATGCAGGGTCAACAGCAATTGAAATGATGAGTGGAAGAAAATCCCCTGTGCTCCTGCAGGGCAGCCCTACTTCCTAGCCCACTTAGCGTGGGTGGTGGGAGGACAGTCTTGTCCCTCTGCAGACAGGGTCTGGGAACTCGCCTTTAGGCTTTAAGGAAACTGTCCACTTTCTAAAAGACTGGCACTACATTTCCCTCAGAAACCAGGAGCTGCCGGAGAACAGAGAGGACAGAGGCACTTGAGGTTCCTGGTACATCATAGAGACATTGTCTTTCACCGTCTTTAAATTAAAAACTATTCAGTTCACCCAGCACTGTTTTTCAGCAGACTATGAATGACACCATGGGGAGCTCTGGTCCTTATGTAATATGCCCCAAAATGTGTTGCTGGCCCTCCTGGCCTCAGTTGTTCCATCTGTATAATGGACGAGGAAGAAGGTTTATTGTGACTTAGCCTCACTGTTAGGCATTTTATGTCCTCTGGTATGATTATTTTTAAACGGTCCAGGATGAGTCTTATAGAAATTCTGGAGTAAGTTACAGACGTGGAGAGCAGTGCGTTCTCTTTGAAATTTAAGATGGAGAGATATTTGGGATGCCGTCTATGAAGTAAAAAGCAAATGGTCTGTCTCCTAAGACTACAACCAAGCCCGTCCTGGTCCTGGCCACAACTTTACTCCAAATATGCACAGCCCCAGCCGGGCGCGGTGGCTCATGCCTGTAATCGTAGCACTCCGGGAGGCCGAGGCAGGATGATCACTCAAGGTCAGGAGTTCGAGACCAGCCTGAGCAAGAGTGAGACTCCATCTCTACTAAAAATAGAAAGAAATTAGCCGGACAACTAAAAATATATAGAAAAAATTAACTGGGCATGGCGGCGCATGCCTGTAGTCCCAGCTACTCGGGAGGCTGAGGCAGGATTGCTTGAGCCCAGGAATTTGAGGTTGCTGTGAGCTAGGCTGACGCCATGGCACTCTAGCCCAGGCAAGAGAGCAAGACTCTGTCTCAAAAAACAAAAAAAACCCCAACTATGCACAGCCCTGCAGGCACAATGGCTGGGGATAGGGAGGTTCAGAGAGGTAGAGAAATACCCATGAAGGAGAGCTAGAATTGTGTATATTATTGGTGATACTGTCTCAAGGGTGTTTTCCTATTCTGGGCCTTGAAAGCTTACATATCAAGTCCCTCAGGACAATAGCGGGCTCTGATGGGGAATGGGGTGTGTGGAGCTGGGAAGGAATCAAGAGGCGCCTGATGTGCCCCCACCCCACCCAGACGCAAGTTCGCCTGCACAGGGAGGTAATGGCTGCTTTCTGTAGGCTGAGTGATGACCTTATCCCCAGGTTGTATTCTGATGCAGCTGGTGCCGTTACCAGAAATCCCAGGACCACAGGTCCCTCTGTCTCCACTTTTGACGTCCCCCAAGAAACCAAGATTTAAAGCTTTCTAACAATTCAGGTTTTTTTTTTTTTTTTTTTTTTTATTTATGAGGAATGTATGTTGTTAGTCACTAGGGGCTACATAACGCAGAATCATAAAACTGGACTGCAGCCATCGTGGCACCCAAGTCTATGCTTGGGCTCTTCCCTGCTCTGCTCTTGGAGTCACTACCATGACCCCAAACCCAACAAATTCACTTCAATATAAAGGAAGTAGCTTCAAGCATTGACAGTTTTTACAAGTGATTATTCAAAGAATGCACAATAGCCACAGTTCAGACGAATCAACTACAAAAATAATTAAAAAAAAAGTTGGGGGGAGGGGGTCCTGCTTATTAAAGATTGGACAGAAACATGGAGAACAGTGGTGGAAGCTTTGCCCCCTCTGTCCTGTGTGATTCAGAGGGGCATGGGGACGCAGCGACGCAGGGGCTGACGGTTAATTTCCAGCAGACATGTGGCGTTCAGGGATGCCTTGTTCTCTTCCTACAGCAGCAACTGAATACTGCAAGTTTAATAGAGAAGATCTTGGGGGCAATTGGGGGATCTGATCTTTTGAGAGCTGCTGTCGTCCCCCATTAAAGAAGAGGCAGCTGGGCTGAGCTCTGCTGGAGATTCTAATGCCCAAGATGGACCAGAGGGGCCAAACATTCCGAGGAAATCAGTAGGTGATAACCCTCCAGCCTGAAGAACCGAGAGGACGTGCTTCCTTCCAGTGGCTGGGAACCATGAGATCTCTCTGCCCCAGATGTGGGCGCCAGGGTTGATTTAACGTGCCTTCAGCAGACTCACAGGGCCAGGGAGCAGGCAGGCCCCTTCCACCCCAGAAGACGGGTGCCATTTTCCTACCAGTTCCTTGGGATGCTTTGGTGTTCCACAGAGACATCCTTAGTCTATTTTAAAAACTCGGGTTTTCTTATTTTGGTCAATTTTTGGTCAAAAGTACAGAGGGTACAGCGGGCCCCAAGAATAAAAGTGCAAATGTGGATGTATCTACTGTTGAAGAGGTGGGCCAGACCCTGGGTGAACTGGTCTGCAGTTTGCCGGGGTGGGGACAGAAAGTCACCTGAGGGCATGTTCCCAGATGAAGATACATTATCTCAGCATGTTCCCAGATGAAAATACATTATCTACAGGAAGGAGGCAGGCTCAGGTCCTGAAGGCAGCAGCGCCCCTGTAGTCCTCTTGAGCATGTCTGGCTGATTTAGCCCCAGAGCTGGACTCCAGAGAGGCCACAGGCTCTGACCACGAGTCAACATTAGGTGGAGGTATAGACAAAGATCCACCTCATAGAGTCTGAAGACAACCTGCCCTTTCACCTACAACTACTGCCTTGGTGTATATCAACCCTGTAAGGAGTCCCTAACAGGCAGGGAGACCTCAGGTCTGTGCCCTGCCCATGAACCTACTTCTGAAGCCATCTGGCAAAGTGAAAGTGCTTGGATAAATGGAAAAGTACCTCTGGATTTTAAATCTGCTCAATTACAGGTTATCTGCAGCAGTTAAGAATCAACACCTATGGCATTCTTTTAAAACTCCTAATTTGCATATGACTTAGTCAATTTCCCTGGGTGTTGCTGTCATGAGAAATATTATGCCAGGCGGAACAGTGATCTGACCCAACATGATTTTTTGCCCTTATTCTTGCGAAGTCCTGATTATCTGGGCAGAAGTGATTTGACCTTCTAGGACTCGTCCTGGACTTTTTTTCCCACCAGTTGGTTGGGGTCTATGGTCTTATACTCCACATTGGCAGAGCAAATTCTTAAGAATGTTCTAGGAGTAGATGTGGCTGGAGCTTGGAAATATTTCAAGGAATATCTGTGCTCCCTGGGAAGTGGTCTGTGTCACCTGCAGGTGGAAACCTCCGCTATTGCTTGGGCAACTCCCCTAGCCCAGTCTGGCTGGTTCTAGCCTTCGCTGCCGCCTGGGGAAGGGATACACTTCCAGAGTAGCAGCTTTCCCTGCCTTACCCCACCCCCCACCCCCGACAAGCTGGCTGAAGTGCAAGATGGGAAGATTGCTAAGCATTATTTGCAGCTTCTGATAGCACTTCCATTGGCACTGACTGCAGTTTTAAACTCCTGTCCTTGTAAATGTTTCACCAAATTCTTTAAGTTCACCTTTTTACCCTCTTGAGGAGGGGAAAGAAAAACTTTGATCACAAGGAAGGACTATCAGAAGGGGAGAAGGGGAAGTAGAGGGGCCTGCAGAATTCACAAATGAATCATCAGTCCCTGATATGACGCACACAGAGTTGACTGAGCCTAATCAAGAGGTCGGTGTAGCAAACACAAAGGAAAGGAAATGGAAAAAACTAAAACAAAACTTCAGAGGAAACGGGTTAGAGGGGCTCAGTGACTGCTTATGCCTTGCAGGGAAGGAAAAGATAAACCCTTTTCCCTCCCCTTAAGTCTCTGCCTCTTCACATGGGAAAAGAGACAGGCGCCTGACCAGACTTTGCCTAGCAATCCCAAAGAAAGCAGGATAAATGGGAACCCAAAGTTCTCAGTAACACCAACTGCAGGTGGGAGGAAAAAAAGGAGAAATAAACCCCTTAAGCAAATAAAAAGGAATGCTACGACCTACCTCTCTCTCACCCCAGTGTGGAACACCCCTATCCATCTGTCATTGGATCATACTATACAGGGCAGAGATAAAAGTTCTTTTCCTCCTGGGGTTTGCTTATCCAGTTCCCATAGCCCATATCCTTCAGGCTTTTTTTGAAGTAGTTCTTGGCTATCTCATAGTCACGGGCAGCTTTCTTGGCCTCACCATAGGAGAGTTTCAGTAGATCCCTGCGGTAACGGAAGGAGCAGAGCTTCTTAAATAGAAGAAAAATGTTCTTTTTGGAGACCCGGGACAATTCATTCCGTGGCCTGGAGGAACAAAAGCACTCATTATTCACCTGGGACCAGGGAAGGTGGGGGCCCTGAAGTAGAGAAAGCAAGGTAGGGTGGGTAGCTCTTAAGCTCTGAGATCGGCAGACACGTGCTGCACGCCTGCGAGTGAGGGCAGGAAGCCTGGCCTTGTCTTTACTGCACTGTCCGTCCCCTTACCCATCCACGGTGCCTCTGGTGCCGTCCAGGATCTCTAGGTCATAGCCGTCAGCCAAACACCAGTTGACGCTTGTCTCCTTAGTCTTCCCGGATTGCCTTTTGGAATCATATACACTGACTCGGCCAACCTAGGAATCCCAGAAGTGATGGGAGAAAGATGGAAACCTTTCAGGAATAACATTCTGAAGCAGGGACTCAAGACTCATAGGAAAGAGGGAGCGTGGGGCCATGATCTTTCTTTATTTAGGATTCTGTCTGGCTAAAATTGGGCAGACTCTACACATACTAACTTCACCTTGATTCCAATTAATTCCAGACTAAGGGAAGAAAAGCCCTTGGCATCCAAAAGGAGGAAAGGATAAGTTCTTGGGGCACCAACAAAGGCTCCCCTTGCCCACAGTGTACATGTTTGCTCTGCTTTCAGGATTGGTTGAAAAGGAGAAACATGTCAAGGGCAAATAGAATGGGGTTATAGCACCTTGGGGTGGTTGACAATAAAGGGATGTCGTAGTCCATCCTCAAATGCACTCCCATCTCTTGTCACACGACAGCAAATAGCACGGGTCAGATGCCCTTGGCTGAAAAGGTAACCTGGGTACAAAAAAAAGAAATGTATACACCTGTGTTTGCACGAAATGCTGTTAAGAGGCAGAGGCATGTGGGGAATTTGGAGGTACAAAATAGAGTTGTCAAGACAGGGAAAAAGCCTTCTGATTGTGGCTACTCAGGATATATATAGGATCATCAAATATTTAAGCACAATATAAGAGGTTCCAGGTAAGGCCAAGGACCGTGGAGAACAAGCAAACTAAAGCGCTGCAGTTTTAAGCTGTTGTGTTTCTTTAACTCATCTTGAAAGGACTGGCCTGGCCTGTTTTTACTTAGGCTCGCTGCCTAACCCTGTCTCTCTACCACAGCAGGCTGGACACTCAGAATCACTTCTGACGACTGAAGCAAGTTCACTTTGGAAAGGGGAACCTGGCAACAAAGCATGCGGTTTCCTGGGATTTGGGCATGAGGAGGACAGACTGGTTCTGGATCCCAAGGCAGGTCCCTTACCTAATGTGACAGATTTGAGATACACGGGCTGCAGGAAGTGGGTCAACAGTGCCCCTTGCAGGCCCAGCACGTTCCAGCGGAGGATTTTGTCACTACAGGACATGGTGCGGAGTCTTTCCCCGAGCCGAATGCCATCCCACGTAGGCACAATGTCACTGGACTCCACAGGGATCGTGCCTTCCCCTGCGTGAGAGACTTGGGTCAGACCTACAGGGGCCACTGGGCCAAACCACTCCTTGGCGTGGTGTTTGTACTCCTTGGGCTTGGGACATCGGCTACTCATTCATTCACTCTTCACACCTTTCACGGTATCTACTACGTGCCAGACTTGTGCTGGGAAACAATGGTGAGCAAAACCAAATAAGACCCTTGTCCTCCTGGAACATTTGTCAGGGGGTGAGGGCATAGAAAGGAATGGAAAAGACACTAAACAAGTAAACCGATATATTCACACGAGTTCTAGATGCCAATAGTGCTCTGAAGGCTTTGAGGGAGCTATGATGGGGGACCACGGGGGAACCTCCTGGGACAGAAGAGTCAGGGGAGCTGAGACATAAAGGGGGAAGGAAGAGGTAGAGTGTCGGACACAGAACAAAGTGAAGGTCCTGAGCAAGGGGTTTGGTTGCTCAGGGAGCTGACAAAGAGCCCGTGTGACTACAGCACATGTGAGGGATGGGGACAGTGGCACAGGATGAGGCTGGGAGATCACGGCAGGTTTTGCTTTTATATGAAGTGCAGTGGGAAACCACTACAGGGTTGGTTTTTTCTTTTTTAAATAACAGCTTTATTGAGATATAATTCACATGCCATACAATTCACCCATTTAAAGCACACAATTCAGGGGTTTTTAGTATTTTCACAGAGTTCTGCAACCTTCACCACAGTTAATTTTAGAACATTTCATGGCTCCAAAAAGAAACCTTCTACTCATTAGCAGTCACTCCTCATCTCCCTCCAACCCTCCCACCCCAAGCCCTGGCAACCACTAACCTGCTTTCTGTCTCTATGGATTTGTCTATTCTGGACATTTCATATAAATGGAATAATACAGTATGTGATCTTTGCTGACTGGCTTTTTTCATTGAGCATAATGTTTCCAAGTTCATCCATGTTGTAAGCATGGATCGGTACTTCATTTCTTTTTATGACCAAATAATATTCTATTATATGGATATGTCACATTTTATTTATCTATTCATCAGTTGATGGCCATTTGAGTTGCTTCCACTTTTTTTGGCTGTTATAAATAATGCTGCTATGAACATTCGTGTGCTAGTTTTTGTGTGGACATAGGTTTCCATTTCTCTTGGGCAAATACCTAGCAGTGAGCTAGGGTATTTAGCAGGGTTTCAGGACCACTCTGATGACTGCTGAAGTGTGGGCTCAAGGGAGCAGGAGTGGATGTGAAGAGACAGGAAGGAGACAGCGGAAGACAGGAGAGGAGGAGGAGCTAGTGGATCAGGGGTACAACCTGCAGCCAACTGCACAGGAGGGAAGCCAGGCACGAGCGCCCTCATCTGCCAACTCCTCAGGGCTTGGTTCTGCATCACTTTCTTTTCATTTCCTCCACCCTCCCCGAGCTAATCCTTCCTGTTCCCACTGCTGTGAAGATCCTACAGGAGGAAGACACCCATGTTTTTATTTCTAGCCAGGCTCTCTCCTCTGAGCTCAAGGTGGGCCACCTCCTATTTGATTTGGAGATTTCCCAGGTCTCCCAAACTAACAAATTCAAAATGGAACCTTGATCCTCCTACAGACCTCCTCCACTCAGATCTTCCCTCTCCTGCAAACAACACCCAGTGCCCAGTGGCAGTCCTGCAGAGACATGGGGTCCTGGGGCCTGGCAGAGCCTTTTGTGGGAAGGACGGAGGGCACGTGTCACTCACCGTTCTCCACCTTGGTGCGGAGCTTGCCTTGTTTGGGATTCTCAAAGACAGGGTAGTGGCAGGAATCTGTGCTTTCCACAGCCCGGTCACTGCAGGACTTGTCAAAGAGGGCACCATCTCCACATGGGGCGGTGCTGCAAAACAGGGGCATCTGTTCAAACTCACCTGTGTACATTTTCCCCAATTTCCTGGGGCTCAAGAACAGTCAGATGAGGTAGAAGCAAGGAATGTTTTCAGAGTACAACCACAGGATATTGGAGGTGGATAGCAGCGTTATGTTAGTCCTTCTACACTCGGCACAAATCTCGAACCCAGAGTGGAGTGCGGTTTATTGTATAAGGTCTGATTTACGGGCCAGGAACACTCGGGTACCCAATTCTGGGAGCCTGGCAGGGCTGGCTCAGCAGCAACAGAGACTATGCAAACCTGATATAGAGATGGAACGACACGGTCTTTTTTATTTGGAGCTTTTCTCCTCCCTTAGCAGGTTCAAATATACTATCCTTTGCAGTCTGGGGGTTGTATTTCATTAACTCGCTGTAGAGAAACCTACAAAAAGAAAATCTGGTTAGGAAGACGGATTCAATCCTGGAAAGAGCAGTTGCTTCTATAATCTGACCTCTACCTGAGCCCCAGATAAGGAAAAGTCTTAATGATGCAGACCCTTCACAATTTCTCAGGTACAAAGAAGTGGTGGGAAATTCTCCATGGGAGACCTCAGCCTTCCATAAAGCAAAGTTAGCCTTTTGGGTCCGTTTCATTTCTGCTGAGGGCTCCTCGCTATGGCTGCTACAGGGATTCTAGGGCAGAACAAATTGATTCAAGGACTACAGAGGCTGTTGCTTCTACGCTCATCTCTCCCTTCATAAATTAAAGAAAAGGTGAACTAGAGGAGAAAGCTGGCAGGGATGTTGAGGTTGTTCATAGGTCCTGAAATGGAGATAGAAGGCTGCCTCATCCCCAAGGCCCTGAGAACCAAAAGGTCATTTTGTATTTTTGAAAAAAGGACATGAAGCAGAGTTAGTAGATAAAAGGACGGCACTTAAAAACAGGCCGAGTAGCAGGATGCAGCCCGGGTCACAGAGGAGATCGATTCTGTAAGACAGGTTCAAATGGACAGGCTAAAAGCAAAGGCTGCCACTGCCGCGTCAACAACCTGCCAGTCTGATGGGGTTTCAGAGGCTGTGTCGGAGTCCCAGCGCCCTGGGGGCAGCAGCTGTGGAGCAGAGAAGCGATGCTCACTCCACAGCCGGGCAGCCAGCCCGCTCTGATCTCGCTCACCTGATGAAGCCTCTCCGGGAGATGATTTCCGCATGGCAGTCGTTGACAGTTTCTCCCTTTAGGCTGAGAGAATCTCCTTTCACACAGCGATTCCCTAGGAAGGCATTTAAAACAAAAATGGAATAATTGAAGGAAAACGATGATGAATAGGGTGAAGGCTGTTTGTTCTTAAAGCTTAAAGGCAGAAATGGCCTCAATTTATCAGCTCCTTGACTCCCATATTCTCTTCTCTAGGAAATAACGCATTCCTCACTCTGAATGGGCTACAGCTAAAATGAAATATAAGTTTTTTATCCCTGCCTTGGTGTCCCTCTCATAGACTCCAGGGGAAGATGACAAGGACTGGCACTGGGCACTGTGGGAGGCAGATGCCTGGAAGAGTGTGTTCCAGTATCTCACTCACCTGTCCCCAAGCTGACTACAACGCCCATGTCCTCGGAGTCTTTCTTCATGATGATGGCAGCCAGGATCTTGCGGCCAAGCAAGGAGGGTTGGAAACTGTTAGTGAGAGCATTGAAGCACCGGTGGCTCAGCATGGCTATCTGGTCGTGGAAGGTGCTGCCAGTGAGAGGGAGCTGTGGGGACAGGAGGCTGCGTCAGGACCATGAAGCCAAGGCTGCGTCCGCCATAGTCACAGTGGGCAGGAAGATCAAGCTCTACTTGACACGTGAGCCATCTTTCGTCACATCTACTGTCACAGTTATATGCTCTACTGAGGCTAATATTAAAGCCTAGGAATAACTCGCATGACAGCAAGTCAGAGCCAACTCTACCCAGAGGGGAGTTAGCAGGAGCCCCCCCCGACAAAAAAAGATAGCACCAAAAGTAGACGTCTTAACTGTCTTTGGCTGTGCTTCTGGGGACCTTGAGAGGAGGAGCAAAGTTCTTCTGAGAGTGGCCCCTGTCACTGGGGTTACCTCTGTGAAACCCATGCGTTCTGCCTTCTCGTTCTCCCCGATCAAGACACGGAGAGCTGCATCTGCTGCTTCCTGCTTGCCTTGCTTCTTGCTGTGTGCGCAGACGGCTGGGAACCAGCGACCCCCAACTTTTGCTTGGTAAACGAACCTTTGGGATGAGAAGCAGGGAATAAAGACAAGCAGCAGGCCCTGACAGCTGTTCCAGGGAAGAGCTGGTTTTGCTTAAGATGTGACCAGTCATACAAACCTATGGACCCATCAATCTGGACAGCTGTTTCTAAGGCAGCATTTTCCAGATTTGGGTCATTCACGAATTACAGGATGACTTGTGCTAGATCCAGCATCACCTGAATTATTACTTTTTTTTCCCTCCTAAACTCTTTAAAAACACAGACACATTTAAAAAGGAAACTTCATATCATGGCTATAAATGGAAAACTAGTATCACTTGCCATAAATTGAAGGTGGCTTTAAAACGGAATATGATGAAATCAAGTTATTAAATTCTGACCAGATACTGTTACCTGCAAAGGCTCTGGGCCTGTCCTTCCTATAAAGGAGGATCAGGAGGTATTAGAGAGCGTTTAAAGAAATATTAGCACCAAAGTTGGACTTTCTTCTTAACTTAAACAGAAATGAGAAGGGAATAACTTTCTCCCCACCTGAAATCACTGTTACTTAACACACTGTGTGATTTTTAAAGTACAATTCCATTTCCTCATTCAGTTCCTGGTTAGCTCAAGGGGACTTACCCTGTCCCTTTGAGGGTAGGTCATTATGTCAAGGTCTGCCTTAGGCCAGGGAACCAAGCTTTTCTGAGGGAGTTATTTTTTGACTTCTGGCAGGCGTGAGATCGCTGTGGGGGTAGGTGGATGGGTCTTGGGCCCATGAGCTCTGCTGACAGTAAAGTGTACAAGCAGGGCAGGGAGGGCCCCGTCACTCCTGGCTGGGGATTTCCACAAACACAGAGGGAAGAGCACAAGGGAGCAAAACAGTTTGGAAACTTACCAGACAAGGTGTTAAGAATCCTATCTTTCAACCAGATCCTAATCTACTGGCTAGGAACCCAGCTTTGGATAATCAAACTGCATACAACAGAGGCTTCCGTATCAAGATTTACCAGCTCAGGCAGTAAAAGGAATCAACCTTAATGTTCAACCACAACGTGTTTCTCACTATTCCTTGACTATCCTAAGTAGCTGGATGTCTTCAGTCCTTTCTTTTGGCAGGTTTATGCAGGCTAGTGGCCTTGAATTCAGAATGAGAGGGACAGGGGCAAGAAGAAGATGGAGATGGGGTCTGGGCTAAACTGTCTAGGATCTTTCCCTGACGGATGCAGGAGAATCTCATGACTACTCTATGCATTTGAAAAGAATATGAACTCTTATGTACAAATTTTTTTTTTTTTTGAGACAGAGTCTTGCCTGTTGCCTGGGCTAGAGTGCCATGGTGTCAGCCTAGCTCACAGCAACCTCAAACTCCTGGGCTCAAGCGATCTTCCTGCCTTAGCCTCCTGAGTAGCTGGGACTACAGGCATGCACCAGCATATCCAGCTAATTTTTTTCTATTTTTAGTTGCCCAGCTAATTTCTTTCTATTTTTAGTGGAGACAGGGTCTCACTCTTGCTGAGGCTGGTCTCAAACTCCTGACCTCAAATGATCAGCCTGCCTCGGCCTCCCAGAGGGCTAAGATTACAGGCATGAGCCACCACACCTGGCTTTATGCACGAAGTTTTATATATGTATGATATATATACATATATATGATAAAGTTTGTTAATTATGCAATTAAAATCCGTTAGAGCTGTGCTGTCCAATATGGTAGCCACTAGCCACATGAGGCTACTGAATTTAAATGAATTAAAATGAAATACAATTAATAATTTAGTGCCTCAGACACACAGCTCAAGTGCTCAATAACCACACCTGTGGCTAGTGGTTAGCCTTTTTAGTGGAATGAGTTAAAGTAGAGACAATGAATATGAATAATTCTTTTGAGAGTTTTGGCTGTAAGAGAAGCAGAGAAATGAGGTGGTGCCTGGAGGGAGATAGAGGCTAGAGGGAAGGTTTTTATAAGATGGGCATGGGCATGTTTATAGGCTGATGGGAATGATCCAACAGAGAGGGTGACGGTGAGGAGACAACAGAAGCAGAGTCCTAGGGCAGATGAGAGGGAGCGGGGTCTAGGATGCAGGGACAGGAGGAAGGATGCTTCCTTCACTTGCTGGTGCAGATACAAGGTATAGATGGAGGTAGGGAGGTGGTTTGGTAATGGGAAAATAAGGTATTTCTCATATGATTACTGGTATTTTCCCAATTAAGTATGGGGTAAGGTTATCAGTTTAGAGTGAGGAACAGGGATGTCAGTGGAAATCTGAAGAAAAAGGCAAAGGTCTGAAGTGGTTCTCTCAAGAGTAGGAAAGAAAATGAAGCAGAAGAATGCTGGGAAGGGGCAAGAGTGTGGGGAGAGGGCAAGTGACAGTCGTTTATTACAACCTTCGATGGCTTTCTATTGCGTTAGTGGTAAAAGCACAAACAGAACCTACAAGGCAGGCCCTCGTGGGCCAGGCCAACCATCTCCGCTCTCAGCACCAGGCAGCCCTCGTGCCCTCTGCTCCACCCACGAGGGCCTTCTTTCAGCCCCTTTACCAGCTCTGCTCTCCTCCCACCTCCCACAGGATTTGTACTATGTCCTTTGCCTAGAAACCTGTCTTTCTCTCTTAATCATCCTTAAGGCCTCAGCTCAGGCATCACTTCTTGGGGAAGCCCTCCCTGTTCTCCTTACTAAGTGAAGTCGTGCTATAATAGATTCTCACCGCACTACGCACCTCGAGCCCTTTGAAATACTTACCGAATATGAGCTACCTTGGTCTATTAACCAGGACTGTTGGCTAATACCTGCTCCTGTTCTAACAAATAGAAGCTACTCCATAAATATGTGTTGAATGAATAAAGTAGAGAGACCACTTAGAAGGCTATTGTTTTGGTCTAGGTGAAAGAACACAGTGGCTCCAACTAGAAGGCTGACACTGGAGGTGGAAAGAGGAGGAAGGGATTTAGGATAGAAATTGTAGGTATAACCAACAGAACTTCAGAATAGGCTGGCCAAAGGAGGTGAAGGGGGATGGAGGAAAAGATGATTTCAGGTTGTTGGTTTTGAGCAACTGGTAGAGGGCAGTGTCATTTACTGAGATAGGAAAGACAAGGGGAAAAAGAGGGCAAAAACCAAGAGTTCTGCTTTGGACCTGTCATATCAGAGATGTCTATCCGAGGACAAGTGACAAGTAAGCAGCTGGAGAGAAGAATCTGAAGCTCTGACTGGTCTCAGCATTTAGATATTAAAAGTCATTAAATTAGTTAAGGTTGCCAAGAAGAAGAGTAGAGAGAAAGGAAAAAAAGAGGACCCAGCATAAGTCACATTAAGAAGGAAGTAACGTTGTGTTATTGTATGAGATGGTCAATAAACACAGCTACTGAGTTATTGACAGCATTTCCCCTCTCTATGCAACCTTCCTCGATCACCCGGGAGACACCGGCAGCAAGTCCTTTGTGTCCCTACAGCACACTGCATTTACCTCCACAGGGCACCTTCGAATACCGTGTTAGGGTTACACATCTGCTCCACACACAGAGGCAGCAATTTCTCATATCTTCAATCTAGTTCATAGAAACTTCTTACATTCCGAATGAAAGACCGACTTAAAGTCCTAGAAAGGATCTTATAGAAGATTTTACAGATGAGAAAGAGGAAATGGACTGACTTACCTGAGGACTTTGCTTAAAGATAATGGAGGGCTTACTGAGAGCGGAGGGTATGAACTGACAGAAGAGCAGCTGGAGGGAGATCATACCTGTCCTTTCCTAGGCTTAAACATGAGCAGATGTATCCCGCCACGAGGGAGAGGCTAAGAGGACCTTTTGTGGCCCCCTCTAGTCTGAATGTTCTAAATGATCAAAGAGCTAATTTTTTTATTATGTTAAAAGCTCTTACATATCAATAAAAAGTACAACCCAAAAGAAAAGGATAAGAACAGGTGGTTTACGGAAAAGGAAATGCAAATAACATATCAACATGAATAAATGAATGACATTACTTACTACTAAAGAGAGACAAATTTGAAACAAGAAGATACCAGTTTTATGCGCTTTTCTCCTTAATGACTTTTCAAAATTGAAAAGTTGGATACCACGCACATAAAAATTCAAACACAGTTAAGAGTATACAATAAGTGTCCCTCCTTCCCCAGAAGCAAATGTAGTTACCAGTTTATTTTAAACCTTTAAGAAAATATTCTATGCATATACAAGCACACTATTTTCATCTCTCTGCTCACTTTATACCTTGCTTTTTCACTTTGCAATAGATCTTACAGATCATTTCCTATAGAATGCCCTATTCTTTTTAATGGCTAATTAGTATTCCTTAGTGTGGATGTACCATAGTTTACTTAACCAGTCTGAAAATAATGGAGCTTTAGACCATTTCGAGTCTTTTCCTATCATAATGCTGCAGTGAAATTAATTGTACTCGTCGTTGTATTGTGTCCTGGGTTGAAGGCATTGCTCTCTACCCTTGGCTATAATGAGGATTATGAATCACATCACTGTTGGTCTAAGTACACTGTCAAAGTGTAAATTTAATTTGCAAGGTGAGATTGAGCACCTTTTTATTTATTACTAATTATGTTGATTTTTCTGTAAATGTACAGTTCATACACTTTGGCTATTTTCCTATTAGATTTTCTTTAGAACCCTTTACATATTAAAGAAATTACCCCCTTGGGCTGTTGTGTATTGCCAAGTATTTTTTTTCTCAGCTAGTCCTTTTACTACAAAACCAATTTTTCTTATAGTCATATTTCCCAGTCTTTTTCCTTTAGGACTTTATGTTTTGTCTTGATTGTAAGGGCTTTGCCACTACAAGGTTCTAAAAACATCCTTATGATTAGTCAGAAAGCCATGGCAATAAATAAATAAACAAAAACATTCTTGCTTTCTGTCTAGTGATCTTACGATTTCATTTATTTTGCATATAAATCTTGGATCCACTGGGATTTAGATATAAGGAAGGAGGCAGACATACAGGCTCTGGTTTTTTTTTTAATTTTTATTTTATTCTTTTGAGACAGAGTCTCGCTCTGTTGCCTGGACTAGAGTGCAGTGGCATCATCATAAATCACTGCAACCTCAAACTCCTGGGCTCAAGCAATCCTCCTGCCTTAGCCTCCTGAGAAGCTGGCACTACAGGCGCATTCCATGACATCTGGCTAATTTTTCTATTTTTAGTAGAGATGGGGTCTCGGTTTTGCTCAGGCTGGTCTGGAATTCCTGAGCTGAAGTAGTACTCCTGCCTCGGTCTCCCAGAGTGCTAGGATTATAGGCGTGAGCCACTGTGCCCTGCCTTGTTTTTTTTTTTAAAGATGGACAGTCAGCACTGCCAACATCATTACTGAATAACTCATCTCCCCACTGATTTGAAGCCTCATCTTTACATGTACAAAATTCCCACTCATATTTATCTTTCTTTTAGGTGCTCCATTCCGTTCTACTCATCTTCCCTTCTATCCACATGCCAGCAGAACAATATTTTAATGTCTGCTAGGGCCAATATGCTTTATTGCTCCTTTTTCAGAATTTTCCTAGCTATTCTTGCAAATTTATTTATCACATGAACTTTAGAATCAAGTTTTCTAGTTCCAAAATAAATGCTAGCATTTTTATTGGGATCACAATAAATGTATAGATTAATCTGGGCACAATTGCTATCTTTAAAATAGATTTTCCTATCTAATAATAGAGTATCTTTCCCCCATTTAATCAAGTCTTCCTTTATATCTTTCGTTAGCATTTAACTTAATGCAGTGCCTATATATTTCCTATTGGGACTGTGCCTGGGTAGTTTATCTTTTTAACTGCTGTTGTAATAGTATTTTCTTTCACCACATTTTCTGATTGCTAACTGCTATATACAGAAAAGCTCTTGATTATTATACATTATTTTGTAATCCCCTACATTCCTAAGTTTTTTCCTTCAGTTTTCTCATGGGTATTCAAGGTACACAATCATATTGCCAATAATGATAACTTTACTCTCTCCTTTTTAATACTTGTTTCTTTCTCTTGACTAATTGCATTGGCTAGTAATTCCAGAATAATGTTCAATAATCATGACACTGGCATCCACATCTTCTCCCTGACTTTAATGGGAGCAGTTCTAGGTTCATTAAGTAAGCTGCTGGCTTTTGACTTCAGATGTGTATATTTTAATCATGCTAAGGAGGTATTTAATAATTCCTATTTTATTGACAGCTTGGTTTTTAAAAATCTGAATAGATGTTGAAATTTACTAAATGCCTTTCTGGAGTTTCTACAGATGACTATGTGATTTTCCTCTTTTGATCTATTAATATGGTAAATAATAATAATAAATATCCTAATATAGACTAATCTTTGCACTGTACTGAGATACCATTTTGCATATTTTAGAATGCAAAGCTATACATTTTGATAATACCATATTGGTCAGGGTATAGCTAAGGAAGAGCCATTTTTATGCAGATGATCTCAACTTACAATGGTTCAACTTGGTGTGAAAGCAATACATATTCAATGGAAATTGTACTTTGAATTTTGATCTTCTCCCAGGCTAGATGAGCTGCAGCTCATAGTCAGCCACGTGATCATGAGGATAGACAACTGATGTTCTAAAGCATATTAAATGCATTTTTGACTTATGACACTTTTAACCTATGATGGGTTTATTGGGATGTAACCCCATCTGAAGTCAAGGAGCATCTGTATACTGTTGGTGGAAGCATAAACTGGTGTACTGTCACTGGAAGAAAATTTGGCAATCTTTACTAAAATTTTAACATAAACATGTTACTTACTACAGCATTGTTTATAATAACAAAAATTTGGAAACAATCCAAGTGTTCCTCAGTGGGAGCTGATTTAATAAATCATAATTAAATCCAAAGTACACGATACTTTGTGGCTATCTTAAAAGAATATAGGGTGATAATGGAAAGCTCTCCAAGATAATACTGTTATGTGTAAAAAGTGAGCTATAGATCAATGCATATATGTACTTCTGTATAATAAACAGGGAGAGAACGCTTGCTTATATTTATATGAAGGCACTCAGGAGGAACATATAATAATGGGTGTGTGTAAGTTGAGAGCTGGGCCAAAGGTAGACTG